AAGTGCCGGGTCGCGGTTCCCCAAGTCGAATTTTTAGGATTTTTAATAGATAGAATGGGGATTCATCCTATCCCTGAGAAAGTACAAGCTATCAGTCAAACCCCAACGCCTACCTTGAAAGCTGAACTGCAAGTTTTCCTGGAGCTATTGAATTTTTATAACATTTTCCTGCCACATAAGGCTTCTATTGTAGAACCCCTGCACAGACTCCTAGACTGTTCGGGGAAGTGGGTTTGGGGACATCATGAGGCAGCTGCTTTTGTAACTATTAAGAAATTCCTCACATCCCACAGTGTCCTACTGCAGTACGATGAAAACCTCCCTGTAGTGTTGGCCTGTGATGCCTCCCTGTATGGAGTTGGAGCAGTCCTGAGCCATCGGCTGGCATCCGAGCTGGAGGCTCGGATGGCAGCTGATGCTGGAGGAGCATTTTTTTCCCGAAAGCTGTCTTCGCCTGAACGGAATTATAGCCAATTGGACAGGGAGGCGTTGGCTATAGTGGCTGGAGTGAAGCGGTTTCACTCCTATCTCTATGGCCGTCATTTTTACATTGTGACGGATCACAAGCCCTTACTGGGCATCATTGCAGGCAACAAGCAGATACCCCAGATTCTGTCCCCCAGGTTCAGTAGCCGAGCTGGCAGTTGAGTTCCCCAGGCTTATGGTGCTGGGGGATTTCAACCTGCCTTCGCTCGGCAAGCACTCTGACAGAGCGCAGGAGTTCATGGCTTCCATGACAGCCATGGGCTTGACCCAAGTAATTCGGGGTCCTTCTCACTCAGCGGGTGAGGGATAGGGAACTTTCATTCCAGGAAGAAAAAAAGATTTGATAAGTGCAATAAATTTGGCAGGATAATTCCAATGATTAGAATATAGCAAGTGAGCAGCATAACTTGGTCAAAAGGGAACCAAAACAATAAAATGGGGGTGGGGGGGGAGAGACTGCACTTTATATTATAAATATTCACATCTCCAGAAATCTAAGGGATGCCTCAGTCAAACACAGTGGTGGAATTAGTTAAAATTAAACTATGGCCCAGATATATTACCTCACATCAAAAAAAAAAAGCTGTGAATGATATGTTCAAAAGCTAATTGTAGATCTGTCAAAGAAGCATGTAGGAATAACAATGGAAGACAAACCCTGAAACTTAATATTTCCAGAAAACTGCTGTCTTAACTCCCTGACAACTCCATCCCTCAAAAGGCAGAGGAAGGCACAGGGGGATCAGTTGTCCTTCAACTGATATTAACCAACAGGAAAAAGTTAGGAGCTGGTGGAAACAGCAGGAATACTCATCCTTAAAGAAAACTAGCTGAGTGTAGTCAAACCTCCTACACTTTGGACTTCCTGTTTTAATGAACTCAAAACAATTATAAGCAGAAAAAAGATGATGATGGGGAAATGAGTACAAAAGTTTCTTAAAAGGCCATACAGTATTAAAAGCACAATTGCAAACTACTCCAGCCAGGGAGTAAAATAGAGCGTTGGTAGCACAAGAAGTTTAGTGAAGATGTGAGCCAAGAAAGAACATCTTCTACAGCAACTAGAAAGAGGGATGGATCACCCATCCATCCATCCATCCATAGGGAAAGATCCAATAGAAGGGAATTGTTGTAGCACCTGCTCACTGAAGATGGCCAAAGGCCCTCTGCTAACACAGGAAGGAGAGCCAGGTGGTGCAGTGATTAAGCACCAGGCTAGAAACCAGAGGTCTAACATTAACCATGGAGTCAGCTGGGCAACCCTGGGCCAGTCCCTCTCTCTCAGTCCTGGGATGAAGAAGGCAAAGGAAAAGCACTCCTGAAAAACTTTTGTCAAGAGAACTGCAGAGAGTAGTCCAGGTAGCCAACAGACTCAAAAGCAACCCCCCATCCAAAAAACCCCACAGCAAAAGCACGATTTAGCTTCCCTTGTCAAACTGAAAAATAACAATATATTTAACAGAGACATAGACATTATTAGATAACAGTTATCAAATGCAAAAGTATTGAGCAGAGATAGTTGGCTTGGAAACAATACTTGGAGAAAAAATTGGAGAAATAGTTTATTACAAACTGAATAAGGCTGAATTGTGTGATTTAGCTGCAAAAGGGGCAAATATGGCTATCAATGAAATATGCACTTTTCAAATTACACAATCTTGTATATTAGGTTTTGCATATAATATTTAATCTTGTTTATTATAAAGGAGAGATCCTGTTTCATGTCCGATTGTAGACATTACACTTTAAATAATAGGATTCAGACAAATTCAAAGAACAACTAAGATAATTAGAAAACAGATTTTCAAGAAACTGGAAAGTTACATTCTATGAGAAAAAAAATTGAAGGAACTAGGAAGGTTTAGTGGAGAAGAGATATAAATATAAATATATATAGGTATAAATATTTGAAAATGATGCAACACAGAAGCATAAAAGGTTGTCCTCCATTTTTCAAAGGGCAGAAGAAAAATAATAAAATTAAGTTACAGAACAGGAAGCCCCATGTCAACTGAAGTGTTTCTTAATAGGGAGTGCAATTTGAGGGTAAAAAGAATCAGCTTCCCTTTCCTGGCTGTGTAATGATGGAGCCAGGCGGCCATCTCTTTGGGAAGCTTGGGTTGAGGCTACTACAGAGAACTGGGACTGGACTCAAGGGTCCTCCTAACTCTAGGAAGGACAACTATCTGCAGCAACTCCATGTGTTACGTTGACCTCTTCACTGCTTTGGAACCAGCCGGGCGGTTCTTGTGAGGAGACCCTCCTTGTTGTTGTTATGCGGCATTGTTCAGATGGCAACGGTGAGAGGACTTCCCTGCCCTGTGACCACTTCCCTGCCCTGTGACCGGCCCTGAAGGAGCATCCAAGGACTGCTGAACAAAGAGAGGCATCTTCCTTTTGGGGAGAGCCCTTTTCACCCAGGGAAGCACCCAGCTCCTGCCTCTCCTTGCCAGAGGCTGCCCGCAGGTAAGTGGGCAGAGAAGATGCATTGGGGGGAACTTCCTCTCATGAACACTCAAGGGGTGTGACCTGGACACAAGGATATTCACAAGTATTTGTAGGCACTTTCATTCGTTAGATGGATGGGTCAGCTTTGGCTGCCTTCACTCTACAAAGCCATTGGCTTCTTCACCATCTGGAGAGCTGCAAAGGACACCGATTCCGAAGTCCCTCCAGAAGAGGACAGAACGCTGTTCAGTAGGCAGCTTTAAAGAGGTCCCAGGCTGCTTCTTTCCAGGGCTCAAGGGAGCCCCAGCAGCGCCACAGCCTCCCCACAACAGCAGACCGCGGCTTCTCCCGCGCCACGAGGCTGCTGAGCCTCGGCTAGGACGGGCTGCTGGCCAGTCGGGACAGGAAAAGCAGGAAGGCGGGCGGAGCGAAGCCTCAGAGAGCCGGAGCTGGAGACACCACGACTCTTGGAAGCGCTAATGAGAACATGGCGACCCCCTCCCCGCCAGAAAAGACGCCTGGCTTCAACGCGGCGAAGGAGGGAGCGAGCGGCACGGAACTCCTCCACTCCCTGCGCTCCCAGCCGCGGCCGGGCAGCGCCCAATCCAGGCGGGGCTGCGGGGTCTCGTGGACTGCCAGGTGACGCCCCTCCTTGCGCTCCTCGGGCAGTTTCCTCCCACTTATGACTGCAGGACTGGAACTTTGTTGCTTGGATCCTTAGGATTTCTATTGGTGTTGATTGTTTCCTGGTTGCTTATTTGTGCCCTGTGACTATCATTAAGTTCTGCACCTTAGGATTCTTGACGAATGTATTGTGTCTTTTTATGCCCGCTGAGAGCATCTGCACCGAAGACAAACGCCTCATGTATCCCTCTTGGCCAATAAAGAATTCTCTTCTCTTCTAAAAAAAAGAACGCCGCCCCATAACCGCCCCCTTCCCTGGCTCGGGGAACAGCAAGTCCAGGTGAAGGGCGAAAAGGTGCCGCCGCCCGGGATCCCTTCTTCCAGAGAGGCGCGGCTCCGGTTCAAGGGGGTCCGTTTTGCGGGTGGGGTGGAGTCGTGGCCGGCAACACGAAGGAGCGAGGCAACCTCTGAACTCGCGCTGGCCTCGACTGCCTGCCTCCCCGCCAGATTGCGCCCACCCACGAACCGCCGCGGCCCGAAGGCAAAGCCTAGCGCAGGCTGCCGGGCCGATCCGGAAAGAGCGCTCGTCCGGCGCTCGTCGACAGAGCCCTCCTCCCCAGGTCCGCCGCCGGGGCAGCCGAGGCGGGGAAGCGCCGGCGGCTCCTGGAAGGCGCGTCCTGCTTCGGTGCCGTCGCCAGGAGCGGCAGCCGCGGCTTACCTGTTACCTTCAAGGCTGTGGCCGTCGGCTCCCCATCGCGGCAAGGGAGGCAGGGCCCGCGGGAGGATCCGGCCGGGGCTGAGGAGCCGAGCCGACCGACCGTCTGGTGCGAGTGGAAAGGGGCGCTCGTTTCGGCGGAGACGCGCGCGGGGCCAGTCCGGGGGGGAGACGGGACAGAAAGCGAGTGGGACAGGCGGGGCGGCCGGGGGAAGGGACGCTCCCGGCGCCGCCCCAGAGCCACTTTCAATGGGATTAACAGGATACGAGCCCGTCCTTCGCTGGGACGGCCTCCGGGGCGGTTTCCAGCGGACCAGGGGAACGGCGTCCTGCCCACCGAGAGGGAGCCCCGCCCGCCTGCCCCCTCCCCGCCCGCGCAAGCTGTGGAAGACCCGGGGGAGCCGTCTGGTGAGCGGCTTCAACTCAGAAAAGGCGGCCTCAGAACCTGCCCGGTCTTCAGCCTGCGCCCCAGCCTTTCAGGAAGGTTGGCGCCGAAGGGCGCATTCCCGAGCGGCTGGGATACTTTTCGTCTGACGTCCATGACTCCAAGCACAAGGGGAGTCCCGCCCGGGGGGACCGATCGGCTTTGGCCTCCCTCCGCCCAGCCTCTCCCGTGGGCAAGCCGCCCTCGGCTGGGCAGAGGCAGTCAGATCCGCCGCCTTTTTCCAGGAGTCTCCCGGCTATGGGCGAAACGCCAGAAATGCGGGGCCGCAATCGCGGCGGCTCCAGCAAGCGGCCTTCCCCGGAGGGTGCCTCGGCTGGAGCGCTGCCTCCCTCGTGATGGGCAACGGGGTCGGGGAAAAGCGGCTGGCGAGGCTCTGGTCTCCCAGGACAACAGCCGCTTCCTGTTCCAGTTGCCCTGGTTAATGATTCCCTCCAAGGAAGGGATGGAAAGGCAGGCAGGCACCCGTGGCCTCCCTGGCATCTTGGCCCTTCAGCTGCACCCAGCTTCCCAAAGGGCCAGCACTCATGAGGGCACAAGAGGGGATGCACCCCACTGTCCTCCCTCTGGCAGGGAAAGCAGCTTTCCTGAGGTTTGGGCAGGCCCAGGCCTCCCTCTCCCCCCTGGAGGCCTTCAGACACAGGAGCATGAAATGTTTGCTCTGGTTGCCCTGCTGAAAGGGCCAAAAACTGGCCCAGCCCTGCCTGCCTGCCTAAATGCCACAGGTGGTCAGGAAGTTACCCAGCTTGGACCCTGGGCAGAAGGAAAGCGGAGTCCCAGCTCTCTGCCAAGCATTCCAACTGGAATGCGTTGGCCAGCCTTTGGCTTGCCTGGGCCACACTGAATGAAGAGGAATTGTCTTGGGCTGCCTCTAAAAGTTCGGGGACTGGAACTGGTTTGTGGCATGCCAGCGGGCTGTGCAAACAAGCGAAGCAGGGAGCACGCAAAAGCCCGACCTCTCTGGTCCACGGAAAAACCTCTCTCCATGGAAGTGGTCCCTGGTGCACATTGAGGAATACGCCTCTAAAATACATACTGCAGTTAATGTATATAGATAACAAACTTCCTTTATTTTTTATTTTCTTGTGGGACTGTGTTACCAGCTGAGCTGTGGTGGTACATTGATTAGAATGCAGTACTGCTGTTGCCTGACCGCTGCTTGCTATTTGGCAGTTCAAATCTCACCAGGCTCAAGGTTGACTCAGCCTTCCGAGGTGGGTAAAATGAGGACCCAGATTATTGGGGTCAATAGGCTGACCCTGTAAACCGCTTAGAGAGGGCTATAAAGCACTGTGACCCAAGTGCTATTGCTATTGGCAGTACTGCATGCGGCCTGTGGGCTGCAGTTTGGACATGCAGTTAGAGATCCTAGAACTGGAGATTCCTATGAAGCTGGCTAAGGGGGACATCAGATCACTCCATGAGTGGCCAAACACAGAAAGCCATTCCTGCTTTTATTTTAGTGAGGGGAGGAGGAGAAATGAGAAGAATATAGAAGGGAATACATAGAAAGGAAGGGAATGGAAAGGAGCCCACTCCTATGCTGCTTACCTGGGTGTTAGGAGGAGAATGATCCAGAGCCTTTGGGACAGCCAGGAATCCTAGAAACTCTCAGCTTGTCTCCTCCTTCTGTGACCACGCCTCCTCCTGACTGCAAAAGGAGATGCAGCTGAGGCTCAGAATTGGGGTCTGGTTTGCATTAAGGTTGCAGAGCAACAGGAAATGGTTTGCTGGCTGGGGCCAGAGCTCCCCCTTCCTCTGAAATATAGGCTTGGGGAGGGGGCTGGTAAGGAGGATTGGTTGGGAAGTTGCTTTAGAACTTGTGCAGGACCCACAAACACTTGGATGGACAAAATGAAACTTTTAGGAAACTCAAGCCTCCGAGTGTTCTTTTGTTATGGGTGTTACTTGGAACCCTGACATTAACCCGAATTCCCTCTAAAGAACTCTACCAGCTCCCCCGAACTTTGAGGTGCTATCTGGGGTCCTGAGCCCCAGTGTTGACCTGAGCCCAGGCAATGCAAAGACTCAGGGAAGATGGAGGAAGAGAAGAGACCCACGGGGGGAGCCATAGGTGATGGGTTGGCCATTTATGCCAAGACCATCTACTCTCCTTCCCAAGCTGTGGTGGAAGCTGAAGAGGCCACCGAGAGGGAACGCTAAATGGGAGCCAGGCACAAAGAGCCGGCACCTGAGTGAACCTCGCAGCCGGACCTGACCCTGCAAGATGAAGCTGCAGGATTTAACACACCCCCCCCTCAGGAAGCACAGGAAGCACTGTTGGAAGCACAGATGGGTGTGGGACAAGCCTTGACCCACGAGTGGAGAATGTTAAAGCAGACGTGCAACAGGGGCTCTGGAGAATGGGGATTCCCACCACCATCACACAGTCTGTCACTGACCAGCCACCCAGTTCGGCCAACTCAACATGAGCAAGGCTACCCATGCCCCTGGCACCAAGCAGCCCAGGTGGACCTTGGACAAAAACTTCAGTATGTTCACCTTCCCGGGCCAGTGACGGCAGTGCAATGGAATGGAGCCTCAATTTCCTTTCATTCGGTGCAGAGAGGCTCAGCCCACAGCCTCGCATCTGGGGTCAGGTCAGCCTCAGCCTCAGTCACCCCCAGAGTGCAAGTGACCCAATACCTGGGCTTGTTGATTCAGCCCAGGCTGGCGATGATAGGCCTGCAGCAGAACTTCTGGAGGTTCCCAACCCCATTCTCACAACCAGCCTTTGGATTACCACTGGTGAGCCAGATCCTGCCTGAGTGAGCATTTTACCCAGGTCAAGGATGAGTACAGTACCAGTGGACGCTGGGCCCAATCCAGCAGCCTTTTCAGCCGCAAATCATGGGCCCACAGCTGGTTCCAACTGCAACTTCAGGCCGCAATCCCCCAGCAGGTCCTGGCCCAACAGCAGCCACCAGTGGTCCCAACATAAGGGCAGGCCCAACAGCAGGTCCCATCGGTTGTCTCTCCTCCATGGTTCCGAGCAACATTTGACGGGACACTTGGGAGGCTATCCTATTTTCTTAATCAAGTCTGGGCTTACATCGACTAATACGGGAATCAATTACCCCTCTGACCAGGAATTGATTTCTGCCATATTGGACAGCATGAACGAGGGAGAGGCATCATAATGGATAGCTGAGCTGCATGATGAAGGAGCCCATGAGCTAGAAGATGCCGACAAGTTCATCCAGCTAATGCAGGTCAGATTCAACAATGACACCCATCAAGTGGAAGTGGAGGCTCAAGATCAAGGAACTGAAACAAGCTGGGTGACCCGTGAAAGAGCTGATTTGGGAGTTTTGGAGACTGGCTGGAAAACTACAAGACTGGCTGGAATGGTTTTCAAAGTCCTCAACTTCAAGCCCAATTTTTCAACCATTGCCGGACTAATCATACATGTAGAGCAGCCAGAGTCGAGGAGAGCGGAAAGCTCGTCCGTCGCACCAGCAGGTGGCACCCTTAGCGCAATTGGGATTAACATGGGGCCTTTATTTGAACTCACCCAACGAGGCGAGGCGTCGTCATTGGATTCATCAGAGGAGCTAGTGGTCACGTCCGCTTCCTCCTCCACCTCCGGCTGGAAACGCTGGGGGGTATTTTCAGCAGCATACGCAGCTTCCTTCTTCTTTCCCGGGTCCCTGCTTGCCTTCCCTTCCCTCTTGGCAGGGGGTGGGGCGGTTGGAGGAAGTTTAACGCGGCAATCCATGGCGCGATGGCCTCCCTTCCCACAATGGAAGCACATGAAAGGCTTGGTCTTGCTGGCGGAGCTTCCCCTCCCTTCACCCCTGATGCAGAATGGGGCTTTTTGAGCTGGGGGGGGTGACCTCTCTGNCGGGCATGGACCAGGACGTTGGTCCCAAAGCACCCATTCAGAATTGGAAGCAACCAAGGGCTTCGTGGTCCAGAATTCATATGGACTTGGCTGGTCCGGTTAAGGGCCAAATGTTTATTGTCATTGTTGATGCTTTCTCTAAATGGGTTGAATTGTTTTTTATTGTCTGCTACAACTGCCCCTGCCATCATTAAGGTATTACGCCGGGTATTCGCAACCCATGGGTTACCAGACTTAGTGGTCTCTGACAATGAGCCCCAGTTTACTGCCACAGCGCTGGCCTCATTCTTTGCCTGGTTGGGGGTCTGCCATGCATTTGTAGTCCTGTTCCACCCAGTGGATAATGGCCTGGCTGAACCCATGGTCCGTTCAGCGAAAGGGGCTCTAGACAGGTTCGGCTTCTTAATCTGGCAAGAGGACATAGATAGGTATTTACTGTGTCAGCATGTACAACTACGAACAAGAGCCCAGCTGAGCTTCTAATGGGATGGTGCATTAGGACAACACTAGACAAACTGCACCCAGAATACACTCCAGACCAGCCTTTAGACTCACACAGTCAACTCAAGGGGTTCACCCATGGGTTGCGAATACCCGACCAGTCTATGCAAGAAACTACTTGGGCCATCCGCTATGGCTCCCCTGCATAGTCCGGAAAATAACAGGCCCTCGCTCGTACCTGGTAGAGGTAGAGGACAGCAGGGTTTGGAGGGGTCATATAAACCAGCTAAGATATAGACTAGTGGGTGCCAATTTGGCAGAGCAGTCACAGGGCCTACCCAACAGGCAGGAAACTGAGGGTCAAGAAAAGGCCATGAGGTCCTGGTCTATCTCCCTAGAGGAACTAGAGAAATTAATAAAAAAATCCACCAAAAGACTTACCTGTGGTTTCCCGGGAGTCTCCAGCCAGACTCGGAGAGGGCCAA